ATTATGCTTCTGGTTGAGAATGCAAATCATAAAATCCCAAAACCTCAACTACTGAAACTGAGCTCAAACCACACCTACTGCCTTCCAGAACATGCCCCACCGAAGTTCCAGCTAGAAAATGGGTTTGTTTTTCCCTGCCCAGAACAGGAGTAAGAGCAGGTTTTCCTTACCTTTGAGCCCAGGTCCAACTTGAACTTGGCCGAGTCGTCCTCCCTGAGCTCTGCCCGCTGCACGCCCTGGGTGTGCATGGCCCCGTAGAGCACCGAGGTGACCTTCAGCAGCTCCTTCACCGCGTACCCGTCGGCCTGGTACAGCTTCTTGGTGTTGAGCTTGATGTGAGCTTTGGTGGCCTTTGGGGAGGAGGGAGTGAATTCATCATCCACAGGAACAAAATCCTCCTTTACCCCTTCCCTCCAAAGCTCTCTGCGGGGTCACCACCCCCGGACACGCAGAGACAAACCCTCCTGTCTGGACACACCTCGTCACGAGCCTGATGTTTCCAGAAGAAATTTTTCTGAAACCTGCACGTCAGAACACCTGCAGAAAAAACTCAAACTATCCATTATTTCTCCCCTGCACTAAGAGAAGCAAAAAAAACCTGTGCACCACTTAAACTCAAATTGAGTTTAAGTGGAAAGTAAGTGCTGCCCAGGTCTTGTGATGATGCTGTAGAGAGGTAAATCTCACCCCTGATGAGTTGCAAGAATAAGATCAATTATCCTAATTTAACTGTCTTCTCTTCCAGCAGCACCTTCAAAATATTGTATTGCTTCTCTCAAATTTTTCCCTGCTATGATATGGGTAATTTTATTCCCTTGTCTTCCATCTCTGAAAAGTACAGACAGACCAGTATGGAAAAAAAAACATTAAAAGTTACAATCTTATTTTTTTATATTTCAAAATAATAAAGGGGAAAAAAGAGCATCTGTCACAGAAAGGACACAAATGTTGCTCTTGAAATTCCTGACTAATTTATATTATAAATGGTCACAAGGAGCCAACACAAATTTCAAGGAGTCCTCCTGGTGGCATAATTAAAAAAGGAAGCAAATGAAAAGTTGATCACCAGTTACGAATACAAAAATTAAGCTTAAAAATGACATATTAAGCATAAAAATGACTTACCATCTTCTTTTTGGCATGTTTTTAAGATTAAGGTTCTGGTAAAATGTTTATCCGATGGAATATCCCACTCAGTGGCAGAATGAATCTATCCATGAGTCACTCATGGGATTATACAGCTTTGGTATTACAGTGTTTCTGGAAGTAATTCACACTCCCCTTGGGCTCTGACAGACCAGAACCTTCAACCTGGGGGTGAGAGACTCAAATATTACAATATTTGGCACAAGTTTTGCCCATGAGCTTCACCTTACAAGGTTCTGCACTGAGCTTCACTGAATAACGGGCTGCAGGAAAGAATTCCTGTGAAAATAAAGAGAGAAAGGGCCACATCTCAAACCATGGATTTAGCTCCAGCTTTTCAAAGGACCTGAGGGAATGGCTGGAGCTGTGCCAGAAATAAAAACAGAGGGTAGTTGGGCACTGGACAGGCTCCCCAGGGCAGGGGTCATGGCCCCAAGGCTCCCAGAGCTCAAGGTTCCAACTCAAGATCTTCTGTGATTCTGAGATTCCTGAAAACTGAAGTCCAAACTTCCAGAACAGGTTACTGATGTTGTACACCCTCAGCTAGGGGAATATAAGACTCACAGGACAAAGATACCTAATTGAAATTTTTGATCAGAATGACCTCAAATGAGCCAACATACAAAGTGGAAAGCCAGGTGTGTTCAGCTGCCTTCCCTTTCAGCAGGAGAAATCTAAAAAACTCATGGTAGAAACAACAGGTATTACATTTTAAGAGAAATGTGCCATTAAATTGACATACTCTATTAAACACCCCCTGTGCAAACATAACTGATGCCCTAAATCATAAAGGACGTTGCTAAAGGCAGAAATTCTGATTTCAGCTCCACTCGAAATTCAGCTCTCCCAAGACAGAAAAATCAATGTCTAGTAAGAGGAAAAAAAATGGTTTTTCACTCAAACACTACTTAAAAAATAAAAAGAGAAAAAAAAAAAAGAGAAAAAAAATAAATGGCCAAGTATGTATATTTTTCAGACTGGCACAGTGGCACTGCTTAGTCAAGAAGGTAACTTCATATTTGGAAAGCTTGAAACACTCACCTTTTTTATAACAATTCTATTTTTAAAGAATAATGAAAATTCACCTCTACTTGTTCTGATGATCAGATTATTAAAATGCAATAGAAAATATAAACATGCAGCAAGAATGGCATCAACAGCCAGAATTTCTCTTACCTTTACAAGCTGTTTTATTATTATCAGAGAGCCAAATTCTGACTGGGATGCCTGACTCTTCCAAAAAAATTTGGTACCTTGGTTTGCTAAGTATGTTTTCATGAATGTATCTCCATGAGATAAACTCATCAGTGGCTTTTTGTTGCACTCTACTTCAAATTTGGATCCAAGGGGGCTTGAGCAGGAGCCAAGTACTGAGCCCCACTAACTAACGCTGGGGAAATGATTAAAAACCCACCTAAGACAGCCCTGCAGACACTTCAGGAATTTTTGGGTCTGGAAAGGAGACACTGGGTAAGTTCCCACAGTGAGCACAGAGCAATACCTAATTTGTGTGGAAAATTAACACCTCTTTGGGTCCTGTTCAGCAAAGGAGAGCAAAACCCCAGCTGTATTTCACAATGATGGATCTACCCTGGTATTCTCTTCTCAGACAAATCTGTCTCCGTCAAATCTCACATCTGCCTCCAGATGCATAAAGCTATTAACTCCTGGGGAGGAGAACTCTGAATTCCATGGGCAGTGAATTATGAAAGAAATGATTAAAAGCTTTTCTCAATCTGAAAATGCTGAAAATCTACAATAACCCCCACGTTAACTTGTAAAATTAACTGAGTGCAGCATGATTAAAGAAATTTCCATTAGTTTCATTTTCTGAACCATAATATGTAATTCTCCAAAACCCTTGGGATTTCTTGCATTAAATCAGCTATTAAAAGGCAAATGTATGCTTGACATTAATTCTGAGTCCATACTTGTCCCTTGTTAAATGTCCTTGACTTGAATTTTCCTATAATTCCAAACAAAATAGATCTGATGGTGCTCCAGGCCTCAAAAAGTGCATTCTGATATATACAGGAAAGTACCATGCTCTGAATACAACAAAATTAAGAATTAAGAGAATTTATGGTGCACACTCTTCACAAACGAGAAGGAAAATATGGTTACAATGTAATCTTACTGTATTTTAAAAAAATCTAAGAATTACAATGAATCTCTGGTATTAGCATAAAGACTTCCATTGCTTCACCTGCAACCCCAGTAAGTTCATTTTACATAATTAAGAATGTTATCTAAGTGTGTGATAACAGCAAAGGCTCACGGTGCACCAAAATAACACGAATTATATGAAGAACAATGTTATTTTACTCCCTGAGACTAAAAAATTTGATGGCCCAATTCAAGTATAATTCATGCATAAAAGGTTTGAGCTGAGAAAAACATGTGCTTTGATCCATGAGAAGGCTCATAGGACATATACCAATACATGATTCTATACCACAATGAAGGTACCAGAGGTTATGACTATTCAAGCACAAAAAAAGAATCAGGCACCCAAAGTTAGCAATAAATATGATGGGATCTCTTCTAAAACAATTTAAATGGCTTCAAAACATTTCCTATCTTCTGCTACCTTTTTATAAATAGCAAGAGATAAGGATATTTTTCTAGCTTTGCAGGGAAAGTGTAAGGGGTTAAGAGAGAAAGCACTAAAGCTGACATGGGACCAGGATTTCAGATATTCATATTTTTAGGATTTCAGGCTGTTCCTGAGCAGACTCACCATGAACTGAGCCACGGCCTTAATGAAGAAAACCCGGTCTTGTTCTGTCTCCACATCAGCAGGAATATCAGTCTGAGGTTCATACCTGCAGAAAGAAGGGGGTGTAGATTCTGACAAGAAATACTCGTGCAGTATTAATGAGACTGGTCCATTTGTGAGGCAAAAATCAAACAAAACAAGCATGGACAAGACTGGTAAACAAATGTTTAGTTCCTGCTGCAGAATGGGGACCCAGGGATGCACACGGTGGGTGTGGGTACAAACTGCAAAACCTGTAAAACCTGACACACCACCCCAGTTCACACTCAGACATCATTTCAAACACGTTACTTTCGCAAACAAAACTTGCAAAAAAGCAAACTGAAAGACTGTAAAATGCCTTAAAAACACCACGAGTGAAATGCAGAAAGTCTCCAGCCTAAAGGAACAAGGGAGGAATAAAAGCAAATTCAGAATTTGGACCCTCAGGGTAACATCAGCATTTTAAAGACTATTTAGGTAACTTAATGCGAGTCATTTTGAATGGTTCTAAATATTTCCCTATTTTGTTACAACAGTATTCAGCAAATTTCAAACAGCTTGCTAGTTAAACTTAATGGATACTAATGAGTAGGACGAACCCAGGCCAAAAAATAGCAATCAGGCAAAGGGTTGTGTCACTGTTGTGTTTTCAACTGCAATATTCTACCTTATGAGGAGCTTTAAAAAAAATAGCAGGGGAGAGAAAATAATGTATAATTTGATTAACATGTCAAGATTCAGAAATATTTAGCTGAAGTCTGTCAATAGGTTAAGTGGGTGTAAAACTACAAGTGGGCAGTAGTAGATTAGGATGGAATCATTTTATTTCTTTTAAACATGTTGTGGATGTGGGACAATACCAGGCTGAACCAATAGTTGTAGCAAAAAGGCAAGAACTGGGTGTATCTTGGGAAGTTCTCACTACAGATTACCCTGTTTGGGTACATGGGCAGGATGGTGATGGAGTCTGAAGAATACAGGAGAGAGA